CTCTGTAAAAAATGTGAAATTCTTAAGTCCATTTTAATAGCTTTTAATTCTAATTCGTTACATTATCAAATTTTGGTTCCGCGATATAGGTTTTGGTAAATATTTTACTTTAATTTATTCCAGCAATCCGTATATGGAAATGATCACGTGATTTATCATTTTGCGTAATTTATGTAACCCGATTCGCGGGAAAAATAATCGTGTAAGTCGTGCAAACATCAATATGGACGAATAAACATGTGTTGTGTTCACTAAATAGGTCATAGACGAGGGAAAAATTGTACGATCACGTCACGCAATACATCATGCTGGGTTTGTCCAGTTGATTTTGATGGTCGTAGGGAAATGTTGAGTTTGTCAGACAAAACCGTTGTGGTCCATAACACCGTAAAATCATTAATGATGGAAAAAAATTTGTAGAAAGGAGGGCTAGTTCATCGCGTTCCGTGTGCAAAATCTCGGGAGAAACTGCAAGAATTCTTTCAGAGTGTATGAGTGTTGTTTTGGTAAATAACACTGTAACGTATTTCAAATTGTTTGTGGGCCCTTTTGAGCAACGCGATATGTCTGTAATGACTAGAGTGCCAAACTTTATTCTTTAATTTTTATCTTCTCCACACTTTGTGTAGTTCATGACCAGATATTTCGACGAAAATTATCGATAAGGCGCCTTCCGATCACTTTTGTTTTCTTTGCAAGTCACGCAAGCCGCAACCTTTAAGGGCAACTCGGCATCTATTCTCCATTCAGTTGTTATGAAAACCTGAAATCCTTAACGTAGAGGATAAACAAACAAAGTTTGAACGGTCAAAAGGAGATCTTAATCGAGTTTCAGAATTATGCAAATGATCATTGGCACCAGCGCAATTGAGCAAACACATAGATTTGCGTTGTTTTTAAGATGTTGGTGGATGAAAGCTACAGATGTACTCGCGGGTTTGAAGCAATCGGTGACCTCATTGGTGTATAATCTATACTCTGATATGCTTTTTAAGCCCGATTAACGCCTGCATTTTGAGAATTCTTTCGTGCAATTTGGTGAATTTTGATATGCAAATAAAGGTCGAAGAGAAGGCTCTCCTCTGATCACGCTTGTATGAAAAATATTTCAGCTGAAGTTTCCATACTTTCTCTGTGAACTGATTGAAGGCACCTTGTAACTTGTCGCAAGATAGAATTGCGTGAGCTATATTATTGCAGTCGCTGCGCGCTGGACAAAATCTGTGAAATTCGATCGCTGTCCACACGGGTGTACTAGCCAAAAATCATTTTTGGCTTGTGGCGACGCAAAAAAAGAGAATTGGAGAACAACTAAATTTTTTTTTAAACATGTGTCCGAAACCCTTTTCATGGGCAAAAAATAAAAGAAAAATTTTTTCCGTCGGGAAGTCGAGAGGACGCTCTTAGCGAGGGTGGCACTTAAACTAGGCAATCATAAAATCTTGCGTCCTTGTTAATCTCTAGTTGACGGAAGACTCCGTTCCTTGATTCAATCAGCTAATAATCACCTCCTGCTTCCTTCAATAGATAAATGCTGAGACAGCAGGTATGCACTTAACTTTAAATCACTCGAAACATTAATTCAATCATTGAATAAAGATTTTACGTTTTAGTTTGCTACCTTGAGAAAGGAATCGTTTGTTTAATGAGTATTACGCCGAAATGAGCTTTACCAGCTTTTAAGCGGCGCGGCTTCTTTTCAAAATGTTTATTTGTGCTGTCTAAGAGGAGTAAATGATATGATCCCTTTGTCAGTTATGTCAGTGAAGAACTCGGTGCAGCACGTACTGTTCCACGAATATAAGAATTTTTATGAACTGCCGATCTGGACTATTTTTGGCTCAAATTTATTCATCTAGGTCAGAAAAATCGAGATCGAATCGAAAAATAAAGTGGCAGAAATGGATAGTTTCATTTAAAAAGCAACAATAAAGTCACATTCCGTAATCAACGACATCTACATGAAAGTGAAACAGGGTTTTGTTACGAAGCGGCGCGGCTTCTTTTCAAAATGTTTATTTTTGTGCTATCTAAGACTGCGGGTAAATGATATGACTTGACCCATTTGTCAGTTATGTCAGTGAAGCATTCAGTGCAGCACGTACTGTTCCACGAATATAGGAGTGTTTTTATGATCTGCCGATCTGGGCTATTTTTGGCTCAAATCTATCCATCAGAGTCAGAAGAAGGTATCAGTTTGAATGTGGAGAACAAATGTACGATTATGCCGCTTGAAAATACTGGAGAAAGATCCCTAATAACTCAATGGATCCTGTAAAAGCTTATAAATTTCACACTGTGTTCAAAATAACCTGAGACAGATGAAGAATGCATTATCGTTTGATAAGATTTTACTGAACATCACGCACGTCTTCAGAAAAGGTGAATTTCTACGAAAAAGAGAAAAAGAAGACTTTATTTTGCCGTCAAAACACGTTTCGGACGGAATAAAATCCAGCTTGACCAAACGCAAGAGAATAAATTCATGAAAATCCTAACCTCAGGGCGGCTTATGATGGAAGAGGTTTGTCTGCTTTAATAAGTTTCTTTGTCACTGATGTGACTTGTGAACAACAGGTCACGAGCATCAATAGGTTTAGCTATAGTAGGAATTTATTTTTGTTTTTGTTATTTTCTATTTAATCGTTTTGTTTTGTTTCTTCCTAGTTCTTTATCAGTTTCGTAGGTCTGTGGGTTAATCGCTCCTATTCAGCGTGGTGACAGTAGTGAGAGACTTTGCTTTTACTATGATTTTACTACCATCTTGTTTTACATTTCTTTTGCTTTGTTTTGTCGTTTTTTGTTTTTTCTTCCTATGGCATAGTGCTCGTTTTTAATACACGCCGCTCTTTCATTAATGCGCTATGTCAAAACTGTTTAAACCCGGTGATTAATGAGATCCTTCAACTTAGTTGTCTTTAGCTGAGTTCGAGTTTTCTATCCTTGAGCGACCTTGTTTTGAAAGTAAGTTCCTTGAAAGATAAATAACGCTCAATTTTCACTGCAACAGTTTTGACGGAAGCACAATCATGTGCTCTTTAACCGGGAAGCTATGCAAACAACGACAAATTAAGGAAGCTTTTACTGTTTTACTGACTACGCTGTTTCCTTTTTGACTGACTGCTCCTCGACATATGTTTCACTTATTTCCTCATTTGCATTGCGTGGACCTAGGTTAACTTTTTTTAGCGACAGAAAACGACAGAACAGACAGCCTTTCTCCCTGATCGACGAAAATCAATCTTTCACTCTAATTGGAACGAATTACTTATATATGAACAATTTTCAAAATCCATGGAAAAACCACATTCAATCATCTTGTTTGCTAACTTTGAATTCTTCTTTATTCATTGCATCTCGACCCGTGTTTTGTTGTTTACAAGCTGTAAACAGCAAATCTTCTATTAGGAGTTTGAATGTTTGAATGGATCTTAAAAATATAATTTTAGCCTCATAGTGCTTGGTTTCAGGGTTGAGCTAGTCCAGTATTTGTTGATAAGACTCAAGAAACATAATTGATTGCTTCAATGATCAAACACTGTGTTCTTGAATGTGGTAGGATCCATGTCATTACAAAAATATATATAAGGGAAAAAGCAATGAATTTAGCCGGAACCTTCGAAATAATGCTGATGTAACAAGAACTTACTAGTGAGGAGAATTAAGATTTGTTACCACATGAGAAATTTCAGGTATGGAAAGCCATAGGTTGAATTTGCATTTATACTTCTTGTTTTTTCTAAATTTTCCTTTCTAGATTTTATTTGCTGATTCCTTTTATAGTCCAGCTTTCGCCCCTTGAACTGCTTTACTATCATGACCAAATAGACAGCAGGCTAAATCTGACGTGCAGATATGCTCTCTTACTTGTCTGCACACATGAGCTGTTACGAAGAGTAAATAGTTCTTTAATAAAGAAGTGCTTGAAAATCAGTGTACTTCGAGGAACGGATAACGGCAACTCGTAACTGTCTTCAGGATGGATTACAACGGAAATAGCCTGAGACAGATGAATGATGCACCTCTCGCTTGATAAGATTTTACTGAACATCACGCACGTCTTTAGAAAAGGTGAATTTGTACGAATCTTGCTTCAGGTAGAGAAAAAGAAAACTTTCATTTTGCCGTCAACACACGTTTCGGAACAAATAAACTTCAGCTTGACTAAATACATCAAAATCCTGACCTCAGGACGGCATATGGTGGAAGACGTTTGTCTGCTTTTAATCAAGTTTCTTTGTCATTGATGTGACTTGCGGAAGAGAAGTCACGAACATCGATAAGTTTAGCCATAGTAAGAATTTTTTTTCTGTTTAATCGTTTTGTTTTGTTTTGTTTTTGTTCTTCCTAATTCTTTATCAGTTACGTATGCCTGTGGGTTAATCAACATTGCTTTTATTATGATTTTACTACCATCTTGTTTTGCGTTAATAATCAAAACATTTTGTTCTTGAATGTGGAAGGATTTATCTCATTACTTATTACAGGGGCAAAAGTAATAAATTTAGACGGAACCTTCGAAATAATGCTGCTCTAACGAGAACAAACTGGGGAGGAGAATTAACATTTATTACCACATAGAAAATTTCAAATATGGAAAGCCATAGGTCGAATTTACGATTATATTCCATGCTTTTTCTAAATTGTCCTTTGTATCTTTTATTCCTTACTTCCTTTTAGAGTCCAACTTTCGCCCCTTGAGCTACTTTACTATTATGGCAAAACAAGCAGTAGGAAAAATCTGGCGCAAAAATATGCTCTCTTAATTGTCTGCACACCGGCAGAAGCTGTTACGAAGAACGAACAGCTCTCTAATAAAGAAGTGCTTAAAAATCAGTGCACTTCGAGGAACGGATAACGACAACTCGTAATTGTCTTCAGGATGGATAACAACGGAAGAACTTTTTCCCATTCATTGCACTTGCTTAATGACGCTGTCTTTGCGTGCAACTATTACACTAAGCAATCACAAAATCATGAATCACAACCCAGTCATATACCTGATTGAGTGTGCCTCTTGTGTCCTTGTTTATCTCTGTTTTGACGGAAGACTCTGTTCCTTGATTCAATCAGCTAATAATCACCTCTTGCTTCCTTCAGTAAATGAATGCTGAAACAGCAAGCATGCATTTAACGTTAAATCACTCGAAACATTAATTCAATCATTGAATAACGATTTTACGTTTTAGTTTGCTACCTTTAGAAAGAAATCGTTTGTTTGATGAGTATTACGCCGAAATGAGCTTTACCAACTTTGAAAATCCAGAGATGCTTCTAAATTAGTTGCAGTAATCATCATAATGATACCATTGTGAAATAGTTTCGCTTGTCCAGTAAATGTTCAGTTTCCGCTCCTGAGCGTTAAACATTTGTGATTGAAATATAGAATATTAATTTTTAAACTAACCGTTTTAAGAGCTTCTGGAAAAATATAGTAGCAGGCATGGATAGTTTCATTTAAAAAGCAACAATAAAGTCACATTCCGTAATCAACGACATCTACATGAAAGTGAAACAGGGTTTTGTTACGAAGCGGCGCGGCTTCTTTTCAAAATGTTTATTTTTGTGCTGTCTAAGACTGCGGTTAAATGATATGACTTGACCCATTTGTCAGTTATGTCTGTGAAGCATTCAGAACAGCACGTACTGTTCCACGAATATAGGAATTTTTTTATGATCTTCCGATCTGGGCTATTTTTGGCTCAAATCTATCCATCTTAGTCAGAAGAAGGTATCAGTTTGAATATGGAGAGCAAATGTACGATTATGCCGCTTGAAAATTCTGGAGAAAGATCCATATAATGACTCATCGGATCCTGTAAAAGCTTATAAATTTCTCATCCAGTGTTCAAAATAGCCTGAGACAGATGAAGAATGCACATCTCGTTTGAAAAGATTTTACTGAACATCACGCATGTTTTGTTTTTATTTTTCTTCCTATGGCATAGTGCTCGTTTTTAATACACGCTGCTGTTTTAGTATTGCGCGATGTAAAAAACTGTGTAAAACCTGATTAATGAGTTCCTTCAAATTAGTTGTCATCAGTTGAGTTTAAGTTTGCTGTCCTTGAGCGACCTTGTTTTGAAAGCAAGTTCCTTAAAAGATAAATAACTCTCAATTTTAACTGCAGCAGTTTTGACGGAAGCACAGTCAAAAAAATTATATATTAAAAAAGCTTTTACTGTTTTACTGACTACTCTGTTTACTGTTCTGCTTACTACTCCTTTTCATTTGTATTGCGTGGACCTTGGTGAACTTTTTCTTTTAAAGACAGAAAACTACAAAACAGACACCTGATCGACGGAAATCAATCTTTCATTCTAACTGGAACAAATTTCTAATATAAGAACAATTTTCAAAGTCCATGGAAAAACCACATTTCATGATCTGATTTGTTAACTTTGAATTCTTCTTTAGCATCTCGACCCGTGTTTTGTTGTTTTCAAGCTGATATTTGAACTCAAATAGCAACACTAGGAAAGTGAAACTAATCTTTGGTTCCTAGAGAGGTTTTCCATCTCTTGACAGTAGTATCAGTGCCTGTTTTTGTGCCTTCAAATAGGCACAGAAGGGGATTCAAAATTACCTAAGAAATTGCAAACCTTCCATTAGGAGTTTGAATGTTTGAACAGATCTTCAGAATAGAATTTTAGTCTCATGCTGCTTGGTTTCAGGGTTGAGCTTGTCCGGTATTTGTTGATAAGACTCAAGAAACATAACTGATTGATTTAATAATCAAAACATTATGTTCTTAGATGTGGAAGGATTTATCTCCTTACAAATTACAGGAGCGAAAGGAATAAATTTAGTCAATATGCTCTCTGACTTGTCTGCCCACATAAGCTGTTTCGAGAAGCGAAAAGTTTTCCAGTAAGGAAGAGCTTGAAAATCAGTGCACTTCGAGGAACTGATAACGACATTTCGCAACTGTCTCTAGGATGGATAACAACGGAAGAAGTTTGTAATATTCATTACACTTGGTTAATAACGCTATACGGAGTCATGCACGGACATCATATTTTACGGTCCCTTTACATTGTATCTCCTACAACTTAGCTCTCATCAGTTGAGTTTGAGTTTCCTGTCCTTTAGCGACCTTGTTTTGAAAGTAAGTTCCTTGAAAGATCTACTGTTACATTCCATGGATTATAAATAACTCTCAATTTCAACTGCAGCAGTTTTGACGGAAGCACAATCATGTGCTTTTTAACCGGGAAGCGATGCCATAAAACGATAAATCATCGGAGCTTTTCCTGTTTTACTGACCACTCTGTTTACTGTTTTTCTAATTTATCCTCGACAGCCGTTCTAATGATTTCTTCATTTGCATTGCGTGGACCTCTGTTTATTTTTTTAGCGACAGAAAACGACAGAACAGACAGCATTTGTCCCTGATCGACGAAGATCAATCTTTCACTCTAATTGGAACGAATTACTTAGTTATGAACAATTTCCAAAGTCCATGGAAAAACCACATTCAATTGTTAACTTTGAATTTTTTTTATTCATAGCATCTCGACCCGTGTTTTGTTGTTTACATGCTGTTGTTTGAACTCAAATAGCAACATGAAAGTGAAACCAATCTTTATTTCCCAGAGGGTTATATTCATCTCGTGACAGTAAACATCAGTGCCCGTCTTTGTGCCTTTAAATGGGCACAGAAAGGGACTTAAATGACCTAAGAAATTGCAAATCTTCCATTAGGACTTTGAATGTTTGAACGGATCTCGCAATAGGATTTTAGTCTCATGGTGCTTGGTTTCAGGATTGAACTAGTCCGGTATTTGTTGATGAGAGTCAAGAAATATAATTGATTGATTTGATAATCAAAATATTATGTTCTTAGATGTGGAAGGATTTATCTTCTTACATATTACAAGGGCAAAAGTATTAAATTTATTCGGAAACTTCGAAATAATGCTGCTGTCACAAGAACTAGTGGCAAGAATTTAGGTTTATTTAGACATGAGAGATTTCAGGTATGGAAAGCCATGGGTCGAATGTATAATTATCCTTTTTGTTTATTCTAAATTGTCCTTTGTATATTTTATTCGGTGGTTCCTTTTAGAGTCCAGCTTTCTTTCGCCTCTTGAATTTCTTTACTATCATGACAAAATAGGCAGTGGGAAAAATCTGGTGCGAAAATATGCACTCTTACTGGTCTGCACATATAAGCAGTTTCGAGAAGCGTAAGGTTCTCCAATAAAGAAGTGCTTGAAAATCAGTGCACTTCGAGGAACGGATAACGACAACTCGTAACTGTCTTCAGTTCAGGATGGATAACAACAGGAGAAGTTTGTCTTATTCATTGCACTTGCTTAATAACATTATACTGAGTCATGCGCGCACATCATATTTTACGACCCCTTTACATTGATATTCTTTGCATGCAGCTAATTGAACTAAGCAATCATGAAATCATGAATCACAACCCAGTCATATACCTGATTGAGTGTGCCTCGTGTCCTTGTTTATCTCTGTTTTGACCGAAGACTCTGTTCCTTGATTCAGTCAGCTAGTAATCACCATTTGTTTCCCAGTTCAGTAAATGAATGCTGAAACAGCAGGTATGCAGTTTAAACCAGTCGAAACATTAATCCAATAATAACTTTTAAACTAACCGTTTTGAGAGCTTCTGGAATTATAGTAGCAGGCGTCGATAGTTTCATTTAAAAAGCAACAACGAACTTACATTCCGCAACCAACGACATTAAAATGAAAGTGAAACCGGGTTTTTTTTAGGAAGCGGCGCGGCTTCTTTTCGTAATGTTTATTTCTGCACTGTCTAAGATTAGTAGATGATATGACTTGACCTCTTTATCAGTTCTGTCAGTGAAGCATTCAGTACAGCACGTACTGTTCCACGAACAAAGGAGTTTTTATGACCCGCCGATCTGGGCTATATTTGGCTGAGATTCGTCAACCTACGTTAGAAGAGGGTATCAGTTTGGATATGGAGATCAAATGTACGATTATGCCGCTTAAAAATTCTGGAGAAAGATTCATAATGACTCATCAGATCCTGTAAAAGCTTTTAAATTACACATCCAGCGGTCAAAATAGCCTGAGGCGTCTTATGAGGGCGAGTTAATTTTAAGGGGCTCGTGACTGTCTACTTGACGGGCCATGTTTGATATAGTGGACCGTGCGGGGAGAAAACCTTAGCCTCTCCCCTCTTGTTCTTTTTGACCATCACCCACCCCCCTGGTACAACTTCGCTTTTATTCCCAGTCTTCCGCTGCTGTAAAAATCAAAGATGGCAACCATAATTACTAAGCACTCGCCCGCGAAAATTACGTTTGCCCTGCTCTCAAGTCAAGAAAATTATAATGATGTTAGCAACGCAATGTTTTACCCTTCATTGCAATAGTCAGCCAATTAAATTTCCCCCTACCCTTGTGCGTTTTAGTTCGGAAACGTTTACTTTTACTTACTTTACACAAGATCCACAGTGGAATGCCAGAAATCGTTGATTTACGGAAACCTGAAGCCTTTCAAAAACTTTTCCAAAATTAAAGTGTTTTAAATCGTATCATTTTTAAGAGACAGAAGACTCTCATGCCTGGTAACTCAGAGGATATTTATCAGAATATAATTGAAGGAATTATGAAATACTCTTGCTCTTTTCAGGAAAGGACTGAAAGCTATCTTCGCTTTGCTTCCATTGCTGGGTGTAACGTTTTCTGCTGAACTTCTTTGTTGATTTTCATGTTGCTGTGGGATATTCTTACGTGCTATTGAATTCCATCCAAGTAAACTGCGTGACACAATTAAAGCGTATCGTTGTTGATGTGGCTGCTTTTCACGTGACTTCTTGGTCAGCAATGTGGATGAAAAGCAAAATTAAGGAGATGCAGGAATCAAGAGTGAAAGACGGTTAAGAATAATTATGTAGGACAAGGGTGAAATAGAAAAAAAAATCAATCCGTGATGATTCGAGATCCAGATAAAAATGAATTTTACAAATTAATCCACATAAAAGGGTTCAGACAAACCAACCAGCTTTACAGGAAGGAGAGTACCTAATGCCCTCTTATAGGAAAGTATGGTAACGTTACGACATAACAGAGCTTCTTCATTAAGTTAGGCCCTCGTTTTCCCAGCAGAATACTTTAACTGCATTCTTTTTAATTTATCAGGGTGTTCTGCTCTTTTTTTTCCCACTGTGTACATGATGATGAGGTGAGTGTAAACACTGACATTAATTCTAGTCTAATTTGGGTCTTGAGCGAATTCCAGCTGAGTGTTGAAAAAACACAAAAGCAAATTATTTATATACATACATATATATATATATATATATATATTCAAAATGAAGGAATGTATAGAGAACCTATTAGAACCTAGTACAAGAATACGCAAAATTGTAAAAGTGCGAGAAAACGTCGGTGAACTTCTGAATTGGATATACTTCTAAATCTAACAGATAGAGAAAACAATGTGAGATGGAGCCAAGTAGCTAGAAAGACAATGCAGGCCAGGATTACTTTTGAACTTCTATAATAAGATACAGTAACTGGTAAAAGCGAGAAACCTAAATGTAACAAGGATTAAACCTATCGTTTTCAACTTGGGACTAGGGTGTAGGAGTGAAAAAAAAAGGTTAAAATCGACCGTCATCCATTCCCATTGCTTAACCCTTTAACCCCATTGAGTGACCAAGACAGAATTTCTCCCTACAATATTCATACAATTTCAAGCAGACAAGTGATGAGAATAAAGAGAAATATCAATTAGGGGATTTTCAGTTGATCCAGTAACAAATTCTCTGAATTAAATCATAATGATTGTATAGCAGTCAGTAAGGAGAATTACTAAGGAGATCTTGGGAGTGAAAAGGTTAAGGACCGGTCATTATTCATTTCATCGCCTGAGAAGGGAGGGGGGGGGGAAGTGATGGAGTGCTGGACTGATCCTCCTCTTGTTTCCCCTAAAAACCCATGAGATCCCCACCCTCCCCTCCCCCATAAACAAAATCTTCCGACCCCTTTCGATAAATAATGATCAGTCGACTGGTCGTGTACTCTTGATTTGACATTACCTCAGTCGGTCCCATATGTTAAATTCAATACTAAACGACTTGAATTTTTAAATGCTTTTTTTTTTTAATTGAGTATTACATATTGTCTCGGTGTCTTTATTTTCTTTGCAACCGAGTCTTTTGATAAGTCGTTAACTAAAATTTGGCATATTTTCCCTATCAGCTTAGTTCGATTATGATTGAACGATTATTAAAATAAAGATAATTTGCTTCTATGCGAAATGCAATAAGAGAGGATTTATTATTTATAATCAACCTTTTTTCGTTGATGTTCTTAGGTTCGCGATGTCGTGAATAAAATGTTGCGTAAAAAGAAGGACAATCTCCAGCAATTCAAGCAGGAGCCCAAAAAAGTGACGGAAGAGGCTTGCAAGGAAACACCAGGTGGGGTAGTCGGATGTTAAATAAATTTTTATCGTTCAGTACAACAAGTAAAAGAACGAGAATTTCACTAGAGTATTTCACCTGTCAAGTTTTGTAGACGGCTTCGTCATGATTTGATAAATAAGCAAACAAAAAAACAAACCAACAAACAATCCTCTCCACCCTCAACAATTCTTACTCCTTCTTCCTCTCTGAACATTCCCGCTGTTTTATTTTTTAATTTTATTTTCTAGATATTGGTTGGTTTTTTTTCCCTTTTTTTTTTGGGAAAGCGCGAATTTTCAAATGCAGAGCGTTCCTTTATACCATTTCTTAGCATTACAAACTTATAACTATTAATTCCTTTCCTTGTTTTCGTACGGCAGTGCAACGTTTACAGTGTTGATCGAGTCGAGGACAAATGAAAAACACACACATTTACACAGCAGTCGAGGCGAAGAAGGATGAAAGCCGATGAAGGAGCCAGTCTTCTGCAGCAAGTTTTAAAAAAACATAGCATTTACATTTAAAAAAAAGAATATATAATTAAGATTGAAAGATTTTTCGAAGAAGCGAGGCCCACAAGACGAAGCAATGATTTCAACAAATATTTACATTTTTGATATAACTCCAAAAACCTAGACTCGATTTTCCGCCGCTCTCTCGTGTCCGGTTTTCGCTCGGTAGCTTCTTAAACCGCGCACAGAAGTTGAAGAGAGACATTTGAACGTAGAGGTGGTCTTTATCAGAGACCGAGGCCAATATTCTCTCTGGCCTAGCTAGCAAATTGTTTATCAACTTGCGAAAAAAGCAACCAAATGAACGGACTGATTAAAAAATATTGAAGGGAGGGACAAGCTGAATGACTGTCTTGTAGCTGTTTAAAAATCTCAAGACACACTTTTTTCCTTCGAGAAATCTCTGGGACGTTTTTTACTGATAAGGGGGGTGGGGGGTGGGGTGAGAGGTAGTGGAGAGGGGGGGGGGATTGTTTTGAAACGAGCTCTGCAGTGACACTGACGTAGGCACCCTAGTCGAAGATCTACAATTGTTGTGAGAATCGTTTTATAAAAGCCTTTATATAATAAGCTGAACTGACTGGCATTTTGACTATTTTTTACGTATCATTTATATATTGAAGGACGGACGCACTCAAATACATGAAGATCGTTAGCGTTAGCCCTTCGTCAGAGAGTTAGCTCTTCGTCAATCGCTCTACGAAGGGCTAACGCTCGAAACGTCAGCTTTTAAACTCTTTACGGTGGCCAATTTACGTTCCTCGTACTCTTAACAGTAGTGTTACTCAAGCTCCTCGCCACATTTCTCACACAAAGGACAAGGTAAAATAGAGATTCAATTTTAGCGTGTTCCGTCTTGCCTTTTTATAGCATTATATACTGCTACATGTACTAATAAATTTCCCAAAAGACTGAGGACAGCGTAACGTTGACGGAGCTGGTCAGATTGAGAACAAATCGAATATTCAAGCTTCTTCAAGAGGCTGTGGACTACGGAGGAATTCGATATGTTCTTCGGTTCTGACAAAAAGTATTGCATTTAGATTTGACAGAAGCAAAGCCATAAAATCGAACAATTCGTCGTAGAAGGAAAGGGTTTATAGCAAAGGAATGATGTCGCGAATACTTCTGAATTATTCCTGTTAGTTACTTGGTACTGCAGAATATTTGCCATTCAATGAATGAATCTAATAGAACATTTATATTAATCACTACTTTGAGAAGTATAGTTCCAAGTTTCCTAATGTAAGAAAAACCTCATACTTGCAAAGAGACTACAGCATTTAAAATCTCGTTTATAATTTGGAGACCTTAGCGAATTAAATTTACTTGAAAGAAGTGGCTTCTTCAAATTTTACCAAGGTTACAATTCTCAGCTGTAAGTTTAATCTACAAGATGTTTACTAAATAGCTCAGGGACACATAAATTGTAATATGTTGGTAGAGGCGCGGAGAACTCCTAAAATTACATAAACTATCACTTGTTCAGAAGTTGTTCAATCGCTGCTCAAGAGTTTCCAGAAGCAATTTTATTTTCTTGGCGAAATTATCCAGTAACCACCGCTACTGCTATAATTATCCTAACAATCATTATTCATGATAATTAATAATGTTAAAAATTTTATTATTATTTCAGTTTCTTCTTGATGGTGAGGAAAAAAGATGAGGAATTTCCCTCTGCGTCACAATTGTGATTTTCAAACATTTCTTTTTTTCCACTGAGAAGTCTAAAGATACTGGGGATTTAAGATAAAAATGCATATATTTCCCTGGCGTTCGGACGTGCAATTTTGCATGTGAAATGTTTTCTAGAATTCTGCAGACAAAGTTTCGTGAATCAAAAGGAAAGAGAAAATTCTCATTGCAAGATCTCTGATGTTTTAATATGGCTATTATATCATACAACTTCTACATATTAACTTGGCAACGACGACCATTAATTTATAATTTGTTTATAAATTATAAATTTTATATAGTTTCTAATCTATTGGTATACAGTTAATCATCAAATGAATAATGAGCTAAAAAGGGATACTTTTCGAACTCAGAATACATTCTGTTCTTATGTTCTTTGCTCCAAACTACCCAATCTCTAGTTGTAGATGGTGTGGAATCCACAACCTCTGCGCATGCCATGA